AGAAAGACAGGAAAAACACCTATGGCCTCTGGTCAGGCAATAAATGAATCTGAGATGAAAGATATTTCAGAGAATTGTTCTGCAGAGGAGAAGAGACAGCGGCCACCACTGTCGGGTCCTTCTCAACAAACCTAGGGGTAGAGTCCACTCTCTCCTCTTCGCATATTCATCACCTTCCCCACTTGCAGCACAACAAAATTGACTCAATTCCTGAGTTTCACAACAGCTCACAGAGCTTCCAGTAAATTACATGAAAATTTAACAATTTTCATTCTTTTGTAGTTTGGGAAAGTGCAAGAGACCATGGAATTGCTTATAAATTTGTTTATGAAAGCTGCCTTTATGAAAAGGCTAAACACTTTTTAAGATGAAAGCTAGGTTTTGCAGAGGTTTATACTCTTGCTTTTGGAGAAAACTAGCTACAACAACAGCTGAGAGGGACAGGAGAAGCACAAGCAAGAGAACTATTTCTAAACTGCCCTATATCCTACTGGAGATGTGGTAATGTGTTAGCAACAGACAGGGAGAACTTGATTTGGTTTCAACCACAACCCTTTTATGTAGCTGAAGGGAAGGTACAGAGACAAGCCTAGCCATCGGAACAGAGATTCTGAGACTATATTCCATGGAAAGTACGATGATCGTATGATGCTGGGCTCCCTTTATGTCCCAACAGTGAAGTACTCCAAGCATTTTTAGCTTTTATTATTTTTATATTGAAGCAAATACACAAAGGATGGCCCAGGAACACCATGTGATCATCAACGCAGTCTACAGTTAAAATTTGTGAAGTGCTGTATTACATCACAGCTTGGTTTAAAACTGACCCAAGAGAAATAAGAAGAAAAAGGTTAGTTTGCATTCAAATTACTTTCCCCAACTGAGGCTGTTGTGGGGCTACATAAACGTAGCTTTTGGTGACCGTGTTGGCTTGGCACGCTCACAGAGCGGCAGAGCCAGGGAGCTCACCAGACGCTGTGTGAAAGTTCTGTTTTCTCATCTCAATTTAGACTTCATTCACAATTAAGAAAAGACGACCAATCCTGGATCCTATTCTTTCCGAAGCATTTCCTCCAAACGTCTTTAAAAATACCAGTTGTTAATGAGCAGCTTGTCCTTTCACCAGATACAATGCAGGCATGCTTAAACCTGTAGCTACACCAGTGCAGGACTTAAAGCCAAATGGCTCCTTTTTATTTCTCTTAAAATATAACACAGAGATGCTGCCATTGAGCAGGCTTCCATCTGCTTCTTACTATTAAGACATTAGTGACATTTTCTGGAACGTTTTCTCATTGAAACAGCTGGTCTACACAAAAAAATACTTGTGTTATTTAAAAATAACACCATAATAGCAATATTGAGAGGCACTGACATCACGAGCAATAGAATGAGCGATTTCAGAGATAACACAAGACTTGGGATCTCTCGATCCGCACACCCTCCTTCCCCATTTTTGCAGAAGCAGCAAATATCAAGGGAGTTTACTTCGTTTGAACAGATGAAAATAGCAGAGTCCTGGTGTTTGGTCTCCAAAAGGTCCTTTGAAGTCTGTTCACACTCTCTTTGAATTAATCCTGTTGATTCCCCTGTTCTCCCTCCTGCCTGAAGAGACATCACTGTGGTGGCTCACTGTTTATGGAACAGCACAGATACCAATTTTTTTCCACACAGCCCAATTAAGAAATGTATTTTTTGCTCCATTTGAGATTCATGTTTAAATGAATTCTCCCTGTACTGCTTTGTAAAGGAATATGTAACAAAGGCATCTTTTCAGCCAACGTTTGGTCTTCCAAAAATGTTCCAGAGCTTCTTTCATGTCCAAAAGTAGTAGCTTCCAAATGCAATACAGAGGAAATGTGCAACCTCGAGCAGCATAAGGAAAAAATAAATCACTTAAAAACTAAAAAAGAAACAAGGTATTATTATGTTAGAACTCTTTATTTGCAAATATAATGCCTAACCAAAGACATGCTATTTTAGCAATCTTCATTGATTGCTAAGATTCTAAAGAAAATTAAATTAATGAACTGAAGAGTTAGAGAGTAGATCCCTAAAAAGAAAAGTAGCCTGCCCCGTAAGTGTAAACAGAATTTTTCTTATTTCTTCTTGCTCATTGACAAAATTGTTTAATTCAGGAACTAATTAGGGGTTCAAAAAGGGGAAAACCTTGGGTTTTTTTAAATTCATAGCAGGAAATGAAGAAGAAATGCGAGAGCTAAGCTCTACTATTTCTTAAACACCTAAAAGAAACAGTAACCAGAAACAGCCAGTCCTAGAAAAAAATAATACTTTAATACAGCAAGTTTAAATTATTTATCAAAACATGTTTGTTTTCTTTTTAAACAGTAAGCTTTTAATAGATCTTTAACTAACATACTTTGGTTCTGTTTCCCCCCCCCCCTCCCTGGAGAGGCCTTTTAAATAGATCTCAATTTCCATTTAAATAGAAGTAATCAATAATAAACTATGTTAGTAGCACCAAAAAAAATATATTATTCTCCAAGAGAAAAATCTTTCAGACACATATATACACAGACTATATAACTGTGTACAGATAACACCTTTCTTGTTACCGAAAAAGTGCAAGTAGCAGTAAGATCAGACAAGCAGACTTCTCTCAAAGTTTTTTAAACACCAACAGATGAGATGTAACCTAAGAAATAATTAGAAAGAGAAATTAATAAAAATTAACGTTTCCTGCTTGCTGATTTCAATAATCAATTCAAGCATAATTTAAACAGTTTCTAGGCCTTTTGACTAAAATCAAGAGCGGTATCTGTGGAAGGAGTCCATTCTGGTGTGTGTATTTAGTACAGTATGACTTGACAATACCTTTCCGAAATGGGTTTGTTGAAAAAGTCCACTTCATGACCGACTATTGCAGTAGGTATGTAATAGATGACAACACAGGATGCAGTTTCAGCTCTGCATTAAATACACAGATACCATAAATAAATACGGTGTTTGAAAGCCTATGAGATGTCCTCAGGACGCCAATTCAAAGCAAACCAAACCTGTATTCATTGCTTCACTATTTCTGAGGCTCACTGACAAAAAAGCACACATATGCACATACTTGAAGAAATCAATCTACATCCCATGCTGCATCATTTACAAAGCAATTAGTGCTCCTTTATGTGCCACAAAACAGTACAACACCCCACCTGATTTTACTGGGGAGACCAGAGACAAAGCCAAACACTAACAGTGACCAAAGCTCAAGTGAGAAAATGATGTTCACGTGAGAACCTCTATTGCCTTGATACACAAAGTTTTCCAGAACTTCACTTGCTGCCTTCATAAGAGACCTATGGAAATGACAAGGCACAATTGGCACAGGGAGACAGCTACCTCTGAACTCCTCCCTCTGAAATTAGAAACAGATTTTTCTACTCTAGGTCTTAACTAGAAACTAAAGCCTGAACCTGTACCAGTTTAAATTAAATGAGCTTTTCAATCCACTGAAAGTTGTTGCAAACCACAACACAGACACAACTTTGATACAAGAATGGCTTTAAAGCTCAACCTTAAACAAATCCAGCCACCTTAACCTACACCAAAGTAAATTTGTCACAAGTTAGCATGCCTCTAGAATGAGTTTATTTTTCCTTCTTCAACCATCTCACGCCAGTATTGTGAAACTGCTATGTTAGCAAACCTTTGTGTCATCAACACCATAAGAGCTCTGGACACCAGTTCCCACTGGCCAGAAGACGTAACAGACCACCACCACGGGGTAAGCTGGAGCCCGCATGACACTGCAAAATGAGCTGTAAAATAAAGCCTAACAACCAGTCAAAAGCTGACTGCATCAGGTAACTGTTAAAATGATATTTCTATTTTAACTACACTCTAATAAAACATGGTCAAGGATCTAACTCTTGAGAAGAATTGCCACACTTGCCTCACAAATTGTGTAAAATTGCATCAGGAAACTCAGATGCCTTCAACCACCCAGGCTGATTAGCCCCAGTATTACTGCATGATATGATTACGTTGTTCTTCATAGTTAGTTCAAAGTATCATAAATTTCCTGAAAGTCAGTGGGAAGGACCAGCTACAATGAACACTTCACCAAAACATACTGTTTTCATTTCAGACCATTTATGCTTGAAATGTTGACGCTCTTCACCATGACAGCACAGCTACAAAGGATTTGTCAAGTCTCCTTCACCATGTTAATAACTGAACAGTATGCTAATTTACTTTCCTCCAGTGAACTTGTCTGCATTCCCTTTCGATTTCCTGTAGCTACAAATATGATAATCAGGAGAACAAAGACTTTAGCACAGCCACCCAGGAACCAGTAAATGAAATGAAGTATGCCTGACTCCAGAAGCAAAAAAAGACCTGCAGTCTAGCTTGTCCTGAGTAGCCCAAGCCGATATTAAGAAGATAATAAAAAAGAATAGTCAAAAATTGCACATCTGAGCAAAGTTGCTCATTTTAACTTCATGGACAATACAACCACTTAGCAACACGGCCGTTCTTAAACTACCCAACCTACCTTTAATTCCCACTTCCTCCCAAGCCTCTCTGGACAGCAACTTCTGGCACTCCATCAGTCCCCTTTTATCCCAGTTTCTTTTTATAAATCCAAGGTCAGGTTTCCTCTCCCATCTCATGTGATGTGCTGGACTGAAGTTCTGCCAGCGTGGTCGGTCCACTCGACTGCCAAATCCCATCCCGTGCCACAACACTCCTTACCAGACTGTTCCACCACCCCACGATACACAACCTTTCATTCTGGGCATTTTTCTCATGTTTAGCGGCGAAAAATAAAGGGGGGGGGGGGGGGGGGGGGGAACACCAACTTTCCCAGCGACGCTTAATTGCACCTAGGAAAAAAAAAAAAAACGCTGCAACCAAGTCACACCCGGGCGGCTCCGGGGCCGCAGGTCGCTGCTCGGGGGACCTCTGCGGGACCCGGCTTCGCCCCCACCCCTCTCCCCGGGGGGGAACGTGCCCCCGGCCGGCCGCGGCCCCCCGGCCCTCACCTCCTCCTCGCTCTCGCTGCGGAAGCACAGACAGGCCGCCCGCTTCTTGTAGCCGTCCCCGTCGTAGGTGCGCGTCTGGTTGGACTTGAGCTTCATCATCCTCCGCTCCGAGGGGGCGGCGGGGGGGGGGGGGGGGGGGGGGAGGCGGCAGGCCGGAGGACGGCGAGGCCCGTGGCCTAGAGGGCGGGGGTGGGCAGGGTGGCGGCGCCGGGAAGGACCCGCCGGGGCTCCCGTGAGGGGCGGGCGGGGAAGGACGGGGAGGGGGGACACACACACACACACGCACACACGGAGGGGGGCCGCCTCCCCGCGACAGTCTCTTTCTCGGTCTCGCTCTGTCTCCTGCAGGCCGGGAGCCGCCCGCTACGCGCTGCCGCCTTTCGCCCGCCTCATCCCGCCCTTCACTTCCAGCCGCTCCGCCGCCGCTGCCGACGCTCCGGCCACCGCCGCCGACGACGACCGCGACGCCATCTTGGGGCACGCTACGCAAACGGCGTAGAGCCGCCGGGCGGGGGAGGCGGCGGCTGCCCCCTGCCGCTCCACGGCGCGCCCGCCACGCAGACGGCGCAACCCCGCTTCCAGAATCGCTCCCCCCGCCTTCCCCTCCCCTCAGCAGACGGCGCCACCACGCCTCCGCCCCCTCCCTCCGCCTCAACGCCGAGCCCTCTGCGCCAGCGGCACGGCGCAGGCGGCCTTCGGGAATAGGGCGGCTGTTCGTAAACTGCGTGCTGGGGCGCCCTGGCAGTTACGCAAAAGGCGCCGGGGCCTCCCCAGCGCACATGGCTCGGCTTTGACAGCGGCGCTACGCAAAGCGCGCAGACGCTGGGGAGGGAAAGAATGCCCGTCTTGCGCAAGGCGGGGGGCGGCTTACGCCAATGGCGGAGCGCGGTTGCGGGGGTCCCATTGTACCCCGCGGGCGGGAGCGGAACAAAGGGGGGGGGGGGTTGCACCCCGGGGCAGGGAAGGGGGGGTCCTCTGCAAGCCCGGGGGACACCTAAACAGAGACACCCCACAGGGCCCCCCACTAGTGCACACACACCTTGCTCCTCAGGGGCCATTCAGCTTCAAGGCCCGATTCCACCGGACAGCCTGTAAGCCCCCCCCAAAATTGCACCCCGGGAGCAGCTAACATCAGCATCACCCTGCTGCAGACACACCCACGTTTTGCCCGCACCCAGGGTTTGGCTCATTCACAGGGTGCTTGCAGGTAGAGGGGTGCCACCCTATGCCCCAGCCCCCGCTTTTGTGTGCTCCCCCAGGAGGAAAACCCTGACAAAGGGTCAAATATTTCTCTGAGCGGTATTTGCCCAGCTGTGGTTTGGCTTCAGCACCTTTGCTGCACCACAGGAGACAGCTGAAAATGGAGGGTAAGCCAAGAAGCCTTTATCATCTCCTGACTCCGCACACGGGTGCAATAAAAGGCTCTTTGCCAGGCGAGGATCACACTAGAGAGCACCCAGGGGAGGCACCATTAATAGCCATGCCTTCCAGACCACCCTCCATCAGCTCATAAATGCTAAAAAGCTTTGAGAGGATGAGGATGGGATCCCTCTGCCTTGCACAGAGCTCCCATCCCAGGCTGCAGGGTTAGAGACAAGTCAGAGATTAAAAATGCGGATGCAGTATTTCCCTTGTGGAAGTCTATTTAGGCTGGGGCTCTTTACACCAAAACAAAAGCAATTTTTACTTGCTCATTTGGATCTTCCCTTTAATGAATCAAATATTCTTTTGGAAGAAAACGTAGCACTTCACACACCAAAATAGTCCAAGTGATTTGAAAGGGTTGCTTAATTTCACATGAAGCTAAACATTTTGCTGAACACTGCTTCCCAAACAGAATCACAACTATAAATGTGTAACAGCAAGCATAAACATTACCACTACAGCATAGGATAAAATAAGCAGAAACTCCAAACAAAAAGCCCCAGTAGAGCCAGACAACCCAGAAGCTCACCTGCAAAGTTGAAAAAAATGAGCTTTAATGCACATTCCCATTAAAGGCTAGGGTGGAAAGTGCATTCTAGCTAAATCCAGAAGGTTAGTCTTCATGAGATTTAGCTAAATCATAGCCTACACGCTTCAACAAAGGCAGATGGATCACTTAAAGATTTGAATCACCTAGTATCTTCCTACAGTGCCAACTCCCTCAGAAATAAATTTTATGAAATAACCTCATGCCCACCATTTCTCTCACCCTGAACCAGGACTGGAATGAACTCCTTTCCCCCAGGTTAGCGTCTAGTACTTATGAGATATTAAGGCTGCCCTGAACAAGGTACCATTTACCAGGCTGCAGAACTCCATTCCCAATTAGCATCATCCCATCATTAGCTGGCGAGTGACATCTACTGGCAAGCTGCACACTGCAGGGCACCAGCTGTGCTCAGCTCCCAGGGCAGGTGCTGCCACAAGCACCCATCTTTCTTAAGCCATGGTTAATTAACCCAGTCATTTCAGAACTGGGAAAAGGGAAATGCTCACCTGCCTGCACTGGCTGGGTCCGATTCACAGGGGGTCTCAGGCTGACACAGCTGAACTTGCTAAATTTGCTGTCTGCAAAATAGAATTGTCTCTCAGCCCAGCTTTACTGCATTACTGGGAATTACTAGAAATGAGCATCTTCCTAAGCATGAGTGACTGCCTGCAGCACTTCTGCACTGCCATGAACCAAGGCTCATTCCTCCATAAGAAACACCTCTATACACTACCAAAACCCTACATCAGTAACCACCAAACCTACAAAGTTCCTTTTCTATAATCTGTTTTCTACTCACAAGTTATTCCACTACTGTTGTTACACATGCCAAAGATCTGAGTCACCTCTCTGCTACATGAGCTCTAGATTTATGCACTTAAATAAGACACAGTGATGCAACCCAGGTGGAATTTTCACCTATTTTATTATACACAAAACATGAGCAGGAAGTTCTACTGAGGAGGCTGACCACGTCCACGACCAAATCCACCTCTCTGCAACAGAAAAGGAAGAGCATTAGAAGTCACCGTATTAAGCAAGTGACAGCAGCAAATACACAGCAGCAAGAACCACCAACATCATAAAAGAGCTAGCTGTCTTTCCTCAACTTCACATTACTTTGCTAAGCACACCCTGCTCCAAGCACAGCCTAACTCTGATCTGTTTGAGACTAGCTACCTGACACAGGTTAACCAGATGAGCAATCCTAAGAACAAAATCAACCCATCCTAGCCAGCTCTGTGGACCATGCCTAAAACTTTTCTGAGGTATAAAATCATACATTTCCTCCAGAGAGTTCAGCTTGCTTCTCAGATGTGTCACTGGCTTCCCCCCACAGTAGCGAGGCCATGAGGTAGTTTCCCCAACAGGAAGGCAGCAGGCAAGTTGAGTGTAAACAGTTAACAGTCCCCAGCCTCTTACACAACTGAGAGCCAAATACCTAACCCCGGCCAGCACACCAGAGAACCACCACTCTGAAGAGCATGCAGATACCACTTATCCACATCCTTCTCATCAAAAACTCAATAAAGGAAGTAAATCTCAAGTGCAAATACTCACAAACTGGAATTCAGTGGCTGCTCCAGCACCAGCCTCAGCTTTCTTGTCAGCACCAGCTGAAGAGAGAGAAGCATGAGTTACTAACCAAGGAATCCACTCCCCAAGTACAGTGCTCCTGCTTGGAATCAAAGCTTTACAAAGGCAACTAAAACTGAGGTGAAATATAGCAAAGTAAAATAGCTATTATAAAAACTGCTAGAGAGTTACTGAACCCACCCCAGAGAAAATCCAACAGTCCAGCTTGACAAAATTCAAGAAGAGACTCCTACCCATAAGAAGATACAGATGAACTCTGTTGCATAAATGACCAAGCTAAACAAAGAGTCTAATTTTCCCCTTTTCTTTTTGAAAGGAGGCCAATACTGAAGACAATTCACCCAAAGAGATAACCTGCACAAAGAGCAAGGTCAGCCTGATATTCATACAGCAACACACTGGACACTCACGTGGAACAGCACTGCGTCTGTATGTGTCCCTGTCAGCTTCTCCCCGAGTGAGACGCGCGGGGCGTTCACCTTCCAGACCTGAAAGTGAAACAGCAACTTCAAATACATTGCTTATCCAGGACACAAGCGACTCATTCCATGCGTGATCCTGCATCTCAAGGTGGAAAAAAGCCCTCCAGTTAAGCATTAGATCTACCAACAGAGCTGCACCTTGAACAGCTCAATATATATAAACATAAATAAAAACATGATATACTAAGGAAAACTTCACTTTAAAGGCAAAAATCTGCTAAAGCACACCAGCTAGTGCTTGGGTTGAAGTTAAGTAATGTGAAAAATGGATTCATAGCATCATCTCAAGAGTCTTCTGGACTTCAAACAAGAGACAAAAAATTAATGATAGTTAAAAAAATCAGAAATACAGAGACTTTGTCATGCGTGTCAAGCTTGTTCATAGCTGAATCACAAATTGCATGACATTCTGATCCCAACCTAAAATACAGCTACACTATCAGTATCACAAATCCTCCACGATGGAATAGATTAATAAAACTAAGAGCAGATTATCTATGTAACATCAGATTAATATTAGACAGAACACTTGCAGGAAAGAAACAGATGTGGTGGAACTGGCAGCCTCTGTGCCACTCACAGGGTTCGCTCTGAGCACCAAGGATGAAACACACTCCCACAGCACCAGGCCAAGGTCTTCACACTCAGGCAGCAAGACATATTTAAGGTCAGTTGCTGCCTGGCACACCAAAGTGTACTAGCAGTCTCACACATGTGGCAAGAAACACAAATTGTGCACTTTTAGAGGCTTGATTTATACTATAGGCACTAGTTTTCCCATACAAACTGTAGTTCTTATAATAGATGCTTTTATTACAAAGAGAAACATTACTCACTGCTGTGCAAACAGACTAACATTCTACAAGTGCTTCTATGCCCTTTGTTTGTGTGAGGTTAAAGCATTATAGCACATCTCCTAGCCAGTGGATTATTTTAAACTTCAGACCTGTCCACCCTTAATTTCTAACAGCTCAATTACATCTGTAAGGGAGACACAAACTGCACATATCATGCAGTAAGGCCAAACCCCCTTTAGACTAACTGTTCCAGCTTTTGTACCAAACCTTACTGGAAAAAGTTGCTAGCACTGCATGGATGTACCAAAAAAGGCCCCAAAGTCCCAAGAGGTCAAGCAAGACCCGTAAACTTGGATTCTGTACCACCATCCACACACACCCCTGCAACTCCTCATCTGCTGCAGCCTGAGGCAGGTAAGCCACAGAGAAACAACACAGAAACAGACAATTTGTGCAGCCCTGCCAGCTAACCCTGCCCAGGCATGAACTGAATGAGGTCACCGGCACTGCACTGCAAAGGCCTGAGATGCTGCAAAGTGAAGCTTCCTCGCAACAGAAACCCCAAGTAAATTTTAGCCAGGAACCGTAAGGCCCACCCTCCCATCAGATATGCAGCTTCTTTAGTTCGCTGGATAAACACCGCATCTAAAGAATAAATTTGATAACCTTCAAAGCTATTCAGAGATCAAAGAAACCATCATCTTCCTAGTTTCAGTGCAATTCTTTCTTTTGAAGCAGACGATGCTACAGTTTTGTTAGGCTCAAGAACAAGTTGGAGAAGCATGTGAAGCCCTCAGCACCCCATGCCCACAGCTTCCGTCCCCAGTGCAGTGTCCAGTACTTGGGGATGGGATAGCTCAGAAGCAGGAGTAGACTCCTACCATCTACCAGAAAGAGCTCTGTCACGCAGGAGATTGCTTTTCACAAAGCAAGTCCTGCTTTAAGGGCAGGATGTCATCCTACATTATTCTTGGTAAACACAAGAGGCAACTCCACACAAGGCAGAAGACCCACAATCTCCTGCCTTGAGGGAGAAGAAACATTTCTTTCCCCTAGAGACCTGGCAATGCTGTTCTGCCAACCACAGCTGCAGTATTTTTTTCTCTCCTTTCTTTAAGTTTCCAGAAGTTTTTATCTCCCCAAGGATCTTCTGAGCAATTTTACAATCCATGTTCTGTACTCTGGTGTTTCTTCTCTACTGCTGGACAAGAACCCATGAAAACTAAGCAGAAGGGATTTTGCAGAGCATTTCTAAATGCCTACAAGCAACATAACCATCCTTCCTATTCTGAATTATTAGCATGGAACACAGTAACCTTTTCAGAACTGAACCGAGACACATGGTGGCTTCAGCACGTTCACTTCAGATTTATTTATACTGCACTACTATATGACATTACTCATAACAAATTGTATCAAAATGGTTCACAAGCCATTCACAGGTCAATACCAAGCATCCACAAGGAAAAAGTGTAGCTTCTGCCTTGTGTGGACTTAACAGGCAGGTCTGCAACCCAAGATTATTTAATATTGCTGTTTGCAACCAGAAAATACCTCCTGGAAATACATTTCAGCCATCTGCAGGTGGGTCTACGACACTTTTTGCAGGGAGGCACCTGTGGGCAACCTGAGAGGTCAGCAGCAGCAGCAGCAGCAGCACACCTCTTTGCATGACCAGCATCTTCTTCACTTTGGGGTATGAAAAACCCACCAAGAAAAAAAATCAGAACTAGGAGCCCAATATACCACACATATTTGTTGTAAATCTTTTAAAAAGCGAAAGCAGCTTTAATAATCTCACTTGCCTAAGAGCACATCAAGTGCATGTGATAAAGCCGGAACTGTGGATATCCAGCTTGACTGCAGGTACCACAGCTGAACCCTGCCATGAAGCACAGCCAGCACCAAGGCCTATTTCTCAATTTTAGTCACTGAATCCCGTGCCCACGTGCTACACCCGAACACAAGTTTGTTTCCTGTCTCAGCAATCCTAGCCAACACCACGCAACTTTTACACAACAGCTTCCCAAGCAGTTGTTCTAAGGATAACTCAGCCAGAGACAAGGTTCTCTGTACCTGCTGGACTAGACCAGCACTGCACACACCGTCTTCCTGAGGGAGAACTGTAGTGACTGCTGCCACAGGCTCTTCCCAAAAGACAAGAATAGTTTTTGAAAAGCCCCAGGAGCTACAGACATCCCTTCTCGGATCTCAGCCATGTCTGGGCACCAAATGGTACCTCGATCCACAGCCTGCAGTTTCAGTGTACTCGTTCTCAGTAATTCCAGTCACTTGTGTTACCAGAGAAGGACAAGACCCACACTCAAAGCGTTTCTCCCAGTTACTCACAGCTTGGTTTAGCCCTCTCCAACACTTCAGTAGGCCAGCGACCACCAGACTGGCACTGAATACAAAAGCACTAAAACTTAAATGTGTCTCTTTGATCTATTAACACTTACACATCCCAAAATCACAGCAACTCACAGCAGTCTGGACTGGGAGCTGTCCGTGCATCACACCAGCGCTGCGTAACACGTTTAACCTCCCTCCCTGCTCCCTCCTGCTGACTCAGCAGTCACCTCTCAACCACCGCTCACCTTTGGGCCGCGGTCTCCCAGTCTCCGGGCGGCTCCGGCGCAAGGTCGCAGGGACGATCTCAGGGGGGAGGTGAAGGTAATCGCGCAGGTACTGGATGCCCTCGTTGGTCAGATACCAGTAGAAATGCCTCCACGCAAACTGCTCTTTCACATAACCACGGGATTTCAGAGACTAGAGAGAGAATTCTCAATTACTTCATGTATGATCTTTCTCACTGTTCCAACATCTCCAGTCAACACCTTCACTAGGTGCTTCTGTGAACACAAGAGCTTATCAGGGGCATGTGGGGAATGGAAACTTAGAAACAGGTAAAAGTTCACATGCACGGGACAAAATTACAGCATCATTTCCATCCTGTAGGAAAGCATAAGGCTACCACACACAGATATCACAGCTCCAAAAACAAAGCTAGAGATGTGGATCCACAAAAGAAAAACCTTCTACAGTCCACGGAGAACAATAAACCAAAGAGCAAAACTCAGGAAAATGGGAAAATAACTGACGGCAAAAGCAACACAACATCTGACAACGTTTATTTGATAACAGCTGCTGATGTTTATTTGTAGGTACGCAACAGTCCTGCGTGCCCAGATCCCAGCTGGCCGGCAGCCCACCCTCACCCCCATACCTGCATGCTTTCATGACGTGGAGGTTGGGCACGTTCTTGTCGACGAGCTCGGGGTGCTTCGGCATGTGGACGTCTTTCTTGGCCACCATCACTCCCTCCTTGAAAAGGAGCTCGTAGATGGCGATTCGGTTCTTCTTTGGCATCAACATCTAAACATGAGGTAAGCCGTAGACAGGCAATAATGTTGATTTAAAATAAATTAATTCAGGAGCCTACCCAAGAGACATAGTAACAACGGTGCTAGCTCACACAAAAAGCCTAACGCTTAAACACCTCCTCGCACATTACTGTCTCCTCTAAGAACTTTTTGAACTACTTTTCAACACCTGAGCTGCTGGGCAACCCTTCCCATTGTCTTCCTGTGAAGGAAAACTGAGCAGTCCAAACTTTTGATCGTCAACATTACATCACACGGCCATATTAAAGACTGTTAATTATCTGATGTCGGTCAAAACATGAGACAAGGGCTGACGCAGGTGGGGCAGCGACGCAGATGAGGGTGTTTTGGCTCTACCACCAGCGCCAGGGGCTTAAAAACATTTGTGCTGTTGTTGTTCCTTTGCACTTAACTCGTGAGCTGAGGGAGCCTCTCGCCCTCCCCGGGGGCCGGGAGCAGATCCCGGCAGCACCTCGCTCGCACCGGAGCCCCATAATTACACCCCTGCGAGGGGACACCCGGCTCCGGGGCGTGTTTCCCCGGGACGCCCAGACTCAAGCAGCGGGAAACCGCGGAGCTCCCGGTGCTCAGGGCCCGGCAGCGCGCAGGCAGCGGCGGGGCACCGTACCGGCCCCGGGCAGGGTTGAGCCGGAGCTTCTCGGCGTGGAAGATCCCGGTGTCACCGCTGGGAACTCCCGCCGCGGCTCCTCCCTGCAGACGCCGCAGCGCGGGGCCCCCCAGCCCGGGGACCAACCCCCGGTAACGGGATGCCCCCCCACCCTGAAAGCTCGGGGCTAGATCCCCCCCCAGCCCGGAAATCCCCCCGCGGGGGGGGCCAGGCCACGGCTCCCCACCGCTGCCGGGCCGCGGCCCCCGGAGCCGCCCGGGGATGGCGCCGATGCGGGGCCGATCGCGGGGCAGAGCGCGGCCTCACCGTGTCGGCGGCGGCGGGCCCAGCAGCGGAAAGGAGTGCGCCTGCGCCGCGCCGCCGCTTCCGGCCTCCCGAAGGACCCCCCTCACCGGCGCCGGGGGCGGCCGCGGCGCTGCCTGAGCGGGGCGCGCAGGCCCCCTCCAAGGTTGAGGCGTGGGGGTGGCCGCGGCGCTGCCTGATGGGGGTTGTCACCTCGTCCGCGGCGCCCCGTGGCACCCGCATCCCCCCTCCACGTCCCCACTCGTGTCACCTCCGTGTCTTCCACCCCAGCGTGGCCGCGGGGGAGCGACGCCAGCGCTGACCCCGTCATCACCCCCCCTGTTTCGGAGGGGAAGGGGCTCCGCGGGCCAGCCCGCAGCCGTGTCCGTTCGGGGACACGAGTGACATCCCCACACAGCCCAACCGATGTCCCCAACCGTGGGACGCTTCCCGAGACCACCCCGGGCGGGACCGGGGAGAAGAGCCCCCCCCCCCGAGATGGCTTCCACCCCCCTTCACGCCCGGGGGCGGCTGCTTTGTGCCCACACACCCGAACAGCTCGGCGCTCACTGGAGGCACACAAAGTCCCCTTTTGCACCCCAAAATGCCCGGCCGGGAGATGGGGGCCACATGCAGTCACCCCAACCAGGCTCTTGGTCCGGAATGGGGGGACACGGTGACCCCCAGATGGGGTGGAATGGGGGGACACCGTGACCCTCAGATGGGGTACACTGGGAGGACACAGTGACCCCCAGATAGGGCACAATGGGGGGACCGGGGCTGTTGTCAGGGCCACGCTGTGCAATGTCCCAGGGCTGCTCCTGCCCTATTTGGAGGTTTGAACACCCCGGGAGCAAGCTCCTGCTGCCAGCAGAAAGGAGACATCCCCGCTGCCCCCATGAACACCCCAGACCCGGGGGGGGGAGCATCTCCTGAATCCCCCCCTGGATGGCGAGAGGAGAGGGGAAGGGAAGGGAGGCTGCTGAGCAAACACTCGCAGGGGAAGGGAACAGTGAGAGGGGACAAAAGCTCACGGAGGAGCAGAGAGGTCGGGGACCCCCCGTCATCGCCACCGGCTGGGGCTCCCGGCTTATTCCCATCCGTCTCCGCAGTCGTGTTTTCACCTTGTGCGGCCAAGAGAGTCGTTCTGCCGGGACGGCGATTGGTTGGCTAAAAATGCCTCCCTAATCTCCGCGCTGATCTTTACCCCCCTCCTCCCCATCTGCCGTGACCTTCCCTCCGGTGTGCAGAGCCAGCCCCGGCGAGAGGCAGCCGGCCCCGCTCCGCCAGCGTCCCCACATCCCAAAGGTACCGCCGTCCGGCTCCCGACAGATTTTGGGGCTGACTCGGCTCCCGATGAGGCGTGGAGGTTGGCATCGGTGGGTTGGCCGGGGCTTGTCGCGGCGAGGGTTGCCGGCGAATGGTGGGTGACAGCGGCGGTGTCCCCAGACGGCAGATGGGATGCCGGGGGCTCGCGACAGCGCCGTCACCCTGAGGTCACCCCGAGTCCTCTCTGGTGGTCCCTGGGTGGTGGGTTTGAAATGGGTGTTCCCCCCCACACACCCCGTTGCTGGTGGTTGCTTGCTGGGAAATGAAACCTGCGTTGGCAGAGCAGCTCCCTGACCCATTTTAAGTGATTTCCGAACGTCTGACAGGGTTGTGCCGTCCGGGGCTCGCTGTCCACCTCGGGTTCCCCCCTCAAAGTTCGGGTTCACCCTATTTTTTCTGGTCGTGCGGTGTCTCTGGCAGGGGCGAGATGGCAATGTGGGTGCTGCAGGTCCCTGCCTGGCTGCCTGCACCTCCCGGGGGAGCTGGGGTCTGGGGTGAAGCGGCAGCAAGGGGCAGGGGTCTGGCAGGGGACAGAGCTTCTGGGGGCTCCTGAGACATGGCAACCGTGGGGCTGGTGGGATGTAGCGTGCTCTTCACGCTCTTCACGCTGTGCCCATCACCCCCATAGCCCACCCAGGCACCTGCCTGCACCCAAAGTTCCCAGGGGGCTTCTGGGGGGGGGGGAGATGCTGGCCCCACACACTGACCACCAGTGTCCCAGGGCCATGCTTGCCCTGCCAGGCTGGGGGCTGGCACTACTGGTGGATAAGCTGCTCTCAGCTCCAGGTGTGGGGTCCCTCCAGCCCCCCGTGGATGTGTAAGGGAGGGCTGGGACCCCAGCTGGGACAGCCGAGGGTTGGGGGCGCTGGCAGCAACCGGGCTCATTTTCCCCACCACCACCTCCCTGAGACATGTTCGGCATCATCTTACCCGGTGAGAAACACAGGCTCCTGCTCTAAGCCCTGCAGTCCAAGCGGTTCAGCCTGTGCCGGCAGCCCCTGCCCAGATCCCCGGGTGCTCTGGGCTCGCAACAGAGCCCCCCCCGGAGCACCCTAATCCCGTCAGCTTTAGGCACACAGCCAGGCACCGCAATGCCCGAGCAGCTGGCAGGGAGCTGAGGCTCTGCAAGACAATTTAGGCTGAGCCCAGGCGCTGCCAGGGGGCTCTGCCTCCCCAGCCACAGGCAGGGCTCAATGCTTACCCTCCCCCCCCCCAGCCCACCTTTGCCCCCAGGGTGTGAGCTCTGAAGGCACACAGGGGGCAACAGAGCTGCGATTTTGGGGCTGCACTAGTGTGAGCAGCGTGGTTGGAGGGACCACTGCCTGCCCTGGGAAGCCAGAGGGAGCAGCGGGGTCCCTGCGGGGTGCATGGGGCTGGGGGAGGCTCATACCCACCTCGGGGTTGTGCCTGTGTGATTCAGGCTGCCCAGGCAAAGCTGGAGTTGGTGCAGACCTGGAGCAGGAGCAGCTGAGGGATGCGGCATGTCCCGAGGCGCCTGGAACTCCCTGGTGCCATTCTGGGGCTTTGCTACCATTTTATTGCCTCCGTTCTTCCTCTTCAGGAGACTAGGGATGGAGCTGGGGGGAGGAACCCACCCCCACAGGGCAATCCCTGGGATGCTGCGACAAATTGCAGCAACCCCCAGGAGAAATGCATCTCCCAGCTTGTCCCACAGAGCGGGAGAGCTGCCCTTGCCTACCTCGTCCTGCCATGCTGCCAGCCTCTGCCTGCATCTCCTCTTTGCAGCTCTTGCTCCTGCCTTGGAAATGGCAAAGCAAGCGCTTTGCTAAACGGATTAGAGCTTCCCTGGCAACCTCTGGGGCTGCTCTCACTTCCCTCAGCCCCTGCGCCACTTTCCCTGGGCAAACCCCATCCCTAAGCCAAGTATTCAGGGTAAGGCCATCACCACAGCGCCGCTGGCCCAGGCCAGGGGACCACACCACCGGCCCCAAACAAGAACTCAGTGCCACACTGCAGCTCCCACCACTCCTGACCCCAAAACCCCGGCTGAAGCCCTGAGGGTCCTTCCACCTCCTGGAATTTTGTGTTCCCTTTGCAGGAGCCCCCAAAAAACTGAGGAATTCATCAGCCGCTGCTCGGCCACTGCTGATGGTGCTGAGCCTGCCCCGGGGTCTGCAATGATCCATGACCAGCACTGGCCCCCTCCTGTTCCACCCCTCCCCAGGGTGCGTGGCTGCTGAAGGGGCTGCATCAAGATGGAAGCTGGATTTAACTGTAAAATGATTGGGGAAGGCAAGCCCAGGCAGCTGGCAGGCACCAATTTATGACGTGCACAGGGGCAGGGTGAGAAAGGGCAGGGAACATCAGCACCGGCAAAGTGTGGCTGCACCGGGGCCACATCCTGCAGCACGCCAAAAGCTGCGTTTGGTTCTGTGTGGGATCCCCCTTGCTGTGTCCCCAACTCTGGTGGTCGCTGTAGCTGTGCTGGGAGGCGATGCTGGGATGGAGCTGGGCTCCTCTGGCACAGCTCGGCAGGAGGAGGAGACCTCGGTGAGCTGCTCTGCCCAGGGACAGACTTTGTCCCCGCAGGGCAGCCAGCCCGGCTGGTGTTTGTGCAACACTTTGAGGGCAAACACAGGACCCTGCTGTGCTTCTGCAGATGAGTTTTGGAGAAGGAGAAGCCACATCCAGCCGGCACCCTCCTGGAGGGGCCGAGCTGGCATCTGGCTGCCCTCAGCGTGGCACAGCACGGGGGGGGGGGGGGGGAAGGAGGCAGCGTGGCCTCAGCACCGCCGTTGCTGTGGCCGTGGGCAATACATACAGGTTCCTTCCCAAGCAGCTGCCTGCACCGAGCTCCACACAATTTCCCAGGAAAAATGGAGCCTTTATGTCCCATCCCCAGCCTCTTCCCCGGAAGGGCTCGGAGGATGCCCCCAGGGCCGGTTATGAGCAGGACAAGAAAGGGATTGTGCTGGTGGGAGCTGGGTTTCTGGCAGCACCTGCCCCGCGCTGGGGCCCTCCACAATGGCTGCCTTTCTGTGTAATCGCTGCAGAGTGGCCAATTATCCTCTGCAGCTAATTAGAGATGCAAAATAGCCCTGCGCTTGTATTCTCCCAGCAAGCCTGAGAGGGCTCCTGGGACCAGCAGCACATCTGTGGTGGGGGCATAGCCTGGGTGTGGGGCGAACACGGGGGGTCTGGCCCCGCAAGCCCCCACTCATGCTCCTCTCTGCTCCCAGAATCAAGTGAGAAGGGGCAGCACGAGGATAGGGATGGGCTCGGGATGAGTGGGATGCCAAAATCCATCTTTGACCCCATCCCCAAGCAGCCATCCCTGGAGTACCCATGGGCTGGGGGCTGTCCCATTGCTCCTAGTGCCAGCCAGTTCAGCAGAGAGCACCATAACCGGGGGCTTTGCCCTGATTTAGGAAATGCATTTTCCTTTCCATTCTCAGGAGGCAGGCAGGAGCAGGCCACACTTGAAAATCCTCACCTTATTCATGCAAGGGCTGGCACTCGTGGCCGGGGTGATGGGCAGAGCTGGTGGCATTTCTCTCCTCTCCTGCCCGCACTGTCTCGCTGCGCAGGCAGGCTGCTGGCAGCTGCTAGAGCACGGTGTGGGCTCATTTCTTCTCCTTCTCAGTTTGCCGTGCTGCTTGAAGAGCCATAATTTCAGAGCGGCAAGTGGCCTGATAAATCAGGGCTTATTTCCTGCCAATACTGGCCGCTGCTTCCCACAGGAAACTCATTTTATAGGAGTGGAATTGGCTTACCACAGGAAATAGTAAAGCAGTGGGATGGCAAGAGCCAGGGAAAAGTTTGTTGTGGCTGAGTTTTTGGTGAAGG